TAAGAAAATAAGAACACCTGAAGAACCTTCCACCAGTCCTCGTAAACGCACTGTCTCGGCATTTCACACGTTTCCTGTCTGAGCGCAAGGTAGGCAAGGAGATAATCAGTGGAAGACCAGCAAGACAATGTTATTGTTCAGGAAGGGTGACCTACACGATATCGGCAACTATCGCCCAATCTGCGTGTTGTCTATCGTCTACAAACTTTTCACTCGAGTTATTCTAAACAGGATTGGCAAGAACACCATACGAAGAACAGCCATGTGAGCAAGCAGGGTTTCGAATAGGATTTAGTACGTTGGGCAACATCCACACGGTAACACGGCTCAATGAAGTATCACGGGAGTACAAGAGACCGCTCTGCCTCACGTTCATCGATTTAAAGAAGGTCTTCGACTCAATTGAGATAGAAGCAGTCATGGAAGTCCTTGATAGTCAAAGCTGTACAGAAATTTCACAAGTCAGGTATCACCATTCTACAACGGTATTAACATTGACGTCAAAAGAGGAGTTAGGCAAGGCGATACCATCTCACCAAAATTGTTTACCGCCACTCTCCAGAACGTCATGCGAACATTGAAATGGGATAATATGGGAGTGAAAATCAACGGTCGGCAATTACGCCATCTTCGCTTTACTGATGACATCGTACTTATAACACCAAACATTAACCAAGCGGAACGCATGATTGCCGACTTTGACAAAGACTGTGGAAAGATCGGTCTTCAACTAAATCTAACAAAAACGATGTTCATGAAGAACAGATTGGTTTCGTATGCCTCATTCACCCTCAACGGAAGGAATATCTCCGAATGCTCTAGTTATGTCTGTCTACGTCGTGAAATCAACACGTTGAATGACTTAGTTCCAGAATGGAGCAGAAGGAAACGAGCGGCTTGGGAGCTTTTAAGAGCATCGAGGATGTAATGAAGAGAACACAGAACACCCGACTCCCTGCCCACCTTTTCGACTCAACGGTGCTTCCTACCCGTATGCGTCAGAAACCTCGTTGCTGCTTAAGCAGGATGAAAGATCAGTTAGCGTTATCGAACGCGCAGTCGAAAGGACGATGGTAGGAGTATCCCGTTTCACACAACTAAGGGATTCGAAGCTCCGACCTGCGTCAACGATCAAAAATTAAAAATGCTGTTCTGTACGCCAAACAGTCGAAGATAAGGTGGGCCGGGCATGCAATGCGTATGAACGACAACCGATGGACAAGAGCCTTTAGTGACTGGATTCCTCGGGATGTCAAACGTACTGCAGGAGGACCACCGACTCGTTGGTCAGAATCTTTCACAAGGAGCCTTGAAGAAAGATATGATGCTCGACGAGTCCCTAGAGCAAGCAGAACGCACTGGGCTACTCTTGCACTCAACAGGGACGAATGGAAGATTTACTGGCGCCCGCTCGAGTCACTCGACGATCAACGGGACTACAGGTGATACGGGTGATACAGGTGAAGATCACTGAGGAAATTCAGTGTTAGAAACAGCAGTTAGTTCAACCATTTAAAAGATTTCTTATATCTAAATACTTTGATCTTACTGATTTTCTCATCGAGCTGTTACAGTACTGTTTTCCCAAGATTCGTTCCTAGCAATCCTGTGAAAGCCGTAGCGTGGTGTTCCCACGTCATCTTTACACGAACCCACCCACTTTTATGAATTTCACGAAGGTTTATTACCTGGTAGCTAGGTTTCTTCTTCTAAGAGAACGATAATTTCTTAAACTGTTTTAATTGTCGATTGACAATTACTTAAAAGTTTCCAACTCCTCATTCGCTTTCCTTAAACGGCTGTGATAAGGAAGTAGTGAGCCACTTAAATTGTGAAATCCTCTTGGAAAGCCTTTAGTGTTTCAACGAGTCTTCGCTTTTCGGTCCTTTCTGATTTCCACTTTTTCCTCGTTTTCGTCAATTTCGATTATTTCTTAAATCTTTGTTTAGTGGAATTTAGTGACGAAAATTAATTCACTTGCAAAACAGAGTTTTCCGAGGACATTTACGGTATAGTTGGATTTCAGGCACCTTTGCCGCTCAATCAGGAAACGCGAATGCTGCCGGATCCGTTTCAAACGATATTTCTCGAGCTTCTTAATAATCAACATGCACCTCAAACCGTCGTGAGTTCGACGTTTTATGACAACGCTTGTCTTAGCTTTTTTCTGCAAGATTTCTAAGGTTTTTTAATTAAGAACTGCAACGTTTTTATCTCTTGTTTCGTATAGATGTTTGTGTTAGTATTCTGATGGTTAATGTACTAATTGAATTTTTGAGTTGAATTGGGTGCTATTTCGTGTTCTGGGTCTGGCTTTCGAGTGACATTTCCTATTCGGGCCCAACTGTGCTCTTGCATGTTCTTGTTGATGATAATAGACCTCCTTACGTTACTTTTTATTGGTCATTTTTCAGTGTTTTAGTATTTCTCGTCGACTAGGAGAATTAGAATAAGAGTACATCAATGCTTGATTCTCGTGATTTTTCCATAATTTAAACCATTTGTAGAAGCCATCGTCCATTCGAAAAAGTCACAATTCTTTGTCAGTCGAGAGATTCGGAAGCCGTGTAGAATGTGCGGTGAGTTTAGAACATTGACTATGCTCGCATAGAATTTCCACCTTTATTATTGGTTTTTCCCGTTGGTCACCGAGTGATTCAAGTAGGTCTCTGAAGTTTTATACTTGATTTGTGCCAGAGTTTGTCAATGGGCTACTTTGCCTCAAACAGTTCGAATAGTGTCCTACATTTCGCATAAACTACTTCACTTTCATCTTTTCCGGCATGTTGAGAAGATTAGCTTGCCCAGTTCATCCAGAGAAGACATGCGACTTTTTCCGGAAGACGTAACAATCCACGGTACGGAGAGGTAGCTTATCCTGTGAATCGACACACGTATGAGCAAGAATATTTGGTCTGCGTGATTAACCGTCTCTAGACCACTATAAATGTTCAGTAGATCCATCTTTTTATACCACCCATCTTCACATCTGCTGTGCGGATCCTAGCACTTACGTGTGATTCGTTCTGTGGCGCCCATCATTTACGAGGGTCTTGAATCTTCTTGAGTGTAGATTCAGTCATTGCTTGCGGATTGCTGTCTTATTTAAAGGTATCGTTAAATTCTGGTTGAGTCGTTTCTCGCTGGAATCCTAGAATAACCGGAATACAACGTTCCCACTTTGATTGCAGGGATTGAGCTGTTCTCAAACATATCTGGTACCAATTTCTAGACCCGGAAGTGTGAGAGATTCGGGAGAACCGCGACGTGGTCGAACAGTAGATCAGTACGTCCAGAGACGAGAAAATCAGCTCTCATAGAAAAATATCTACTTCTATCTTCCTTTTTTTCAGTAATACTTTTCGCAAGCGATGACTGTTCGTAATGTGTATTTGGAATAGACTCTTCAAGTCGTGAAATTACAACCCCCTCCAACTTTGCATTTATGACAGTAACAATCTAATCTAAGAGAGATAGTACTGCGCATTCAAAGCGAGTTAAAATGAAATGATGGAACAGCTCAACAAGACAATAGTTCAGCTCACTTCTACCGCGTAGTCTATTTTTACACATCGATATCATCGTTGATAATGTGCTCATAAAATGTGCCGTGTTGGTAACGAAAGAAAGACAGAAGCTTCTTATTGCTGGAAAATTTCGTCTGCACGGTGCTTTTCAAGACGACTGACCCAGTTTTCCTTAGGCAAACCTGGAAGATGTCTACCGGGCTTCCTGCCGATTGGTTACCTTGCCAGTTTTCCGGCCAGTGTTTTTAAAATCAGAATTATTGGCTTTTTCGCTCTTCTGTTTTCGTTTTTCGTTTTGTGATCCAAGATCCGGAGATTTTAGATGTGTAAAGCACAGGTGGAGAGTAAACGAACAATGTTGGTTGGTCACGCCAAGTCGCATTGTCCTCAGCGACAGGTTCGTACTTTCTCTCAGTTTTGCTTTTTCTTTCGCAGTTTTCACGACAGAGTTATGCCAAATTCCAATGATTCCAATGATTGCGTAGAAGTGGGTGGGGGTTTTTTTCTGTTGAAAGACGAAGATTTTCACTTTATCGCAATTTTTGAGTGCAGCTGATGTCACTGGGTCTCAAAAATAATGAAAAGCTGTAGAGGTGTCGGTTCTTGCTGCCTATATACGGTGAAGTGTCCTCTTCTGTTGGTGCTGTCCACATTGGGTAGAATCAGTGAGAATTTCAGAAGATACTTACAGTGGCAGTGTCCTCATTGCGAGACGACGGCCGCCTTTCATTCGAAACTGAAGCTCCACGTACAGAACGCTCATAAGAGTGATGCTGAGCCAATGGACATGTAGTGAGTCTTGGCAATATTGAGCTAAGATGTTTCTTCCCTATTTCCACCTCTATTTTCTTTTTCTTGGACTCCATCTACTTTCTAAAGACCTTCAAAGATTTCATATTAATACGAAATCCTTCTAGATGAAGATCTTTATTGGGAAATATAACAGAGGCGAAAAAAATTGATTCCATCGAAACAAATCCTTTTTAAATCTGCTAAATTGGTGTGATTTTTTGCTTTAATTTTGTTTGTGGAAAGGAGAAGAGCAGGGCTCTTAGCAGAATGACCTACTGTGTGACCTCATGTACACATTTGCGCATTGATTCGATGATTGTATTGACTTACATTAATTTCTTGGATCTGGGAAGAACTTAATGTGGCTGGTAGGAAAACTAGTAAATTTCGCTGAGATTCTGCTTCACTACCTCTGTTACTGTGCTTTAATATACTGTAATATGTTCTAACTTTTATTTCTTGCCTAATTTTTTTTTCATGGCAAGGTGTATTGTGAAGCATAACCACAATTATACTGAGACATGAGCAAAACTCAATTGAAAATCCGATCAACTTCGATTGAGTTTCGATGTTAAAACACTTCAAAATCAACTTAGCTGGGTTCACTGCAAACTTGTACTCCCCGGGTCATTCCCATTGAGGAGTGATTGCTGATAACACCGAAAGAAGTAAAAATTGGCTGAAACAAAGGCCAATCAAGGACGTCGGTTGGTGTAGTGAATAGGCGACTCTCCGCGAAGGATAATCGCAGGTTCGAAGCCCAACTGAGGTTCCAAGTTTTGCTTATATCTCACCGTCATTTTGATTATGCTGGATTATATCTCTTCATTTCCTAACATATTTGGGATTATAATTCTCAAAGTCCGAGGGCGAAATTTAAGTTCTTAACACGTCTAGCGTTAGCCCGACAACTCCAGACACCAGTGATACATTGGGATTGATGCCGATATTACGCCACATGAGATAGGGTAGAACGATTATTAGCTTTCATTCATTTGGCTGCAACTATTAATGGATGGGACAAGTTGTATAATATCGAGACCTTCTCGATGGTATCAGCAGAAATTTCAAGAGTGGCAAACCTGTTAAAACTTGTGATGATGAGGTCCTAATAACGTTTACAAGGAGATTCGTATTCCGCCAACATACCCATATTAGAAACACAAGTCGGGCGTACAAGGTATTGGTGAGTACCGGGGTGGTACGCCTCTTCAGAAGGGGTGCGGGTGAATCGATTATGGTGGAACTCATACTCTGTTTAGTGGATAAAGAAAGAAATTCGTGTGGGGATCCTAAATTGTGTGTGAAAACTGTAAGTATAAGCCTACCTTGTTTGCAGCCAAAAGGCTGTAACAAGTTTTGTTGAGCACGAACTCTGCGCCACCACCAGTGGTAGTTTTTGAGGGCAATAATTATGAGCTGCTCACAAAGAGACCTCGTGTGCAAATGTATTGATGGTTTCATACCCTGTGAACGCCTAGATAATTTAAAACTAAGTCTTTGAAATCCGTGCATGTTCTCAAATCTGCTCCTGTGAAGTGCGAACTCTAATTTCCGGTCATTTCTAGCTCGGCGGAATTGGAGAACAAATGGCTGGAGTTGTTCCGCCAGTGTTTCCCGCAGTTTGCACAGCAATGCTTTCTCGAAGAATGGAAGTTCCGCTCAAAACAACAGCAACACCTGTACAGCGCCAATGTTGAGGAATGGAATGCAAGAGGTTAGTAGGTCTTATAGGAAACATCCATCGCCGATGTCGTTACCACCTGAACGTCGTTGTTTGAGATTCTTAGGTGAAAAATTAGTATCTAGGATATATCTATTTCGCTTTGGCCAATTTATCACATGCACACAAAATTCATGTTAAATTTCGAATATGACTGGTCACCCGTATCACTTTTAGTCCCGTTGATCGTCGAATGACTCGAGCGGGCGCCAGTAAATCTTCCATTTGTCCCTGTCGCGTGCAAAAATAGCCCAGTGGGTTCTGCTCGCTCTAGGGACTCGTCGAGCATCATATCTTTCTTCAAGGCTCTTTGTGAAGGACTCTAACAATCGGATCGGTGGTCTTTCTGCAGAACGTTTGACATCCCGAGGAATCCAGTCACTTACGGCTCTTGTCCATCGGTTGTCGTTCATACGCATTACGTGTCCGGCCCACCTTATCTTCGACTGTTTGGCGTACAGAACAGCATTTTTAATTTTTGATCGTTGACACAGGTCGGAGCTTCGAATCCCTTAGTTGTGTGGAACGGAATACTCCTAGCATCGTCCTTTCGACCGCGCGTTCGATAACGCTGAGTGACCTATCATCCTGTTTACGCAGTGACCAGGTTTCTGACGCATACGTTAGGGCAGGAAGTACCGTTGAGTCCAAAAGGTGGGCACGGAGTCGGGTGTTCTTTGTCCTCTTCACGACATCCTCGATGCTCTTAAAAGCTCCCAAGCCGCTCGTTTCCTTCTGCTCCATTCTGGAACTAAGTCATTCAACGTGTTGATTTCACGACGTAGACAGACATAACTAGAGCATTCGGAGATATTCCTTCCGTTGAGGGTGAATGAGGCATACGAAACCAATCTGTTCTTCATGAACATCGTTTTTGTTAGATTTAGTTGAAGACCGATCTTTCCACAGTCTTTGTCAAAGTCGGCAATCATGCGTTCCGCTTGGTTAATGTTTGGTGTTATAAGGACGATGTCATCAGCAAAGCGAAGATGATGTAACTGCCGACCGTCGATTTTCACTCCCATATTATCCCATTCCAATGTTCGCATGACGTTCTGGAGGGTGGCGGTAAATAATTTTGACGATGTGGTATAGCCTTGTATAACCCCTCTTTTGACGTCAATGTTAATATCATTGTAGAATGGTGATATCTTGGTTGCGGAATTTTTGTACAGCTCAGGAAGAATCTTTATGTACTGAGTAGGGACTTCTTAACTATCTAGCGCTTCCATAACTGCTTCTATCTCAACTGAATGACTGTGGTAGTTAATACAAATTTAACTTGTAATGAGCTTCCTAGAAACGAGTAGTTGGTGTTCCCAGTTGCAATGATTGGTCTTCTCTTTTTTATTTTCTGAGTATACCGTACACTATTCCAATCTTTCTAGTTGAAGTAGACTAGTTAAAATTGGAGTAACACCCAACTTTTAGTACCTTATATTGCATTCTTCATAGAAGTTACTTTATATGCTAACAGTATGACTAGAATCTTTGCCTAAAATCCTTTTCAGTGTGCTGTGATGACATTATAGGTAGATATTCAGGAATGGAGGGTGGAGAGCGGGTTAGGCGTACGATCCTCATTGAACAGGAAGAACCAAGAAAGGGCAGGGACGTGAAATTTGAGGACAACAGCATCTCAAACGAAACATAGTACTCATTCCATGGACCTGTGATGCCTCATTAGATGGTTTCTACCATCCGAATAGTAATGCTAAAGAACGCGAAAATTTCCAATTCAATTTCATAACTAGTTGTTTTGTTATGTACAAGCCAAGTCGATCATCAGTGAAATTGTGGAATTTAGACGATAAAGTCCACTTGCCTTCAACGTTCTTTTCAATCATCGATGTCATCTAATTCAATTGTCAATGCATAATACGAAGAGCACCTTAGCTGTTCAGTGTGCACATAAGGAAAATCCATAGACACCTCTTCAGCATCGTTAGCCAATTTTATTATCATTATTATTGTCGTTATTGTTATTATTATTATTATTATTATTATTATTATTATTATTAATCGTAATGAATAACCGTCGACTATTTGCGACACTCCACAGGCAGACACGACAACTCCGAGAAGTCTGATTTGCGTTGCTATCACATTTTTCGGAAATGAATTCGATCTCGTTAATTGTTAAGCCGCGAAATAACTTACTACCGAAGTAACAGGTGTGCGCCATCTGACTTCCAGATTATCGTATTCTGTGCCGATACGATAGAAAGAAGAACGATTACACGGTAAAGGTTTTCACCACCTTTATAACACCGTGATCATCATCAATACATCAATAATTAAATAAATGAAAGGCCGAACCATTTATTATCGCGTAGTACCGAATATAAAAGTTTCCATCTTTGATCACAATTATCACATTTCAGTTTTTCAGAAGTAAAACAACCATTTTCAATCAACTTGATACCTGCATCAAAACACAAATCCAGGGATAGCTATGCTGAAGACAGATAGCAAAGATATGGTTTTCTTCTTCGAGTTCTTTTATTTTCTACCTTAAAAATGGTGTGGAGAAGAGTGGATTTTCAATAATGGTAAACAACATACCAATGTAATGAAGAAGGGAACAGTGAGCAGATGTGGTTAATATAATTTATATTAGTAAGATTAATTATAAATATCACGAACCACCTCATAAAGAGAAAGTAGACAAGTAACACATTTATAATGAAGATCTAGGACAAACATGAGCTGAGCTAATTTTTCAACATAGATAGAGCTATACCTCGAGAATTCGATGCAACGAGGAAATCCGTGATCGTCATTTTTGTACTTGGTATCGCGTTTTGTACTCGTAGTGCCATCGATTGAAATCGACATTGAAAACCACAACTGAACCCGAATCTAGCCCGGCAAGTATAAAACGGTGGTTTGCTGTGATGGCTATCGAACGGACTGCGCTATCCACTTGCTGCAGAATGACACGGTTAAAGACACTAAGGAATAAAAGAATGCATTTTAACAAGCGTTAAAACGTTGATGAAGGCTATTTCAATAGGTGTTCAGTTTCGGAAAGTACACAAGGGTCAAATAATTTTCTTCGTATTTATGTTGAGCAAACGCGAAAGAGCCTGGAAAGGTCAAGTTGATAGCAATCCACTCGGCCAGACGCCTCCATAACCAAACAAAGAAACTCTAAACCAAGATTTCAATCACTTTGAACACAGCTTTGCACACTCACCGCTTCCTATGAGGTTTCCACTAAGTATGTCACGTAGAGACCAACCGCACAGAAATCACATGGAAGTATAATGTGCCCCTCATATCAGAAAAGCAGTTTTATATACTGCCCTATATCACGCGTGATAATGAGGCATTCTTCCCTGCGGTTCATTTTCGGATTTCTGGAATTAATCCAGAGTGCCTCGAGAGTTTTTCGCGCCTGTGTTCTTGATTCGCGTGCGAGGATCGTGACACATACTTCAAAGTCGTCCACGTTATGTCTCTGGGTCCTTTGCGTGCCTAGCGGGATATTTGGTCTATTTTTGCCGGCTAGGTGTTCTTTCATGCGGACACAGAGGGGTCTACCCGTTTCGCCAATGTATTCGTCACCACACGTCTTACAGGAGATCAGATAAACTATACCCGAGCTCATGCAATCACCGTCTCTACCACTGGGGCAAATTATGCAATTTTGAGTTGCACATAGACGGTCATATTGGCGGTTACGAACTAGCTGGCGCTCTCACCATCTGAACCCATTTCTAAGGTAACCTTGCGTAGGGTCGCATGTAGTTTACATGAACTTCAAGATAGACTCCGCAAAAAAGCTAGAGATGAAGCGCTAAATAGGTGCGAACAACATCAAGTGGGGGCCCTACCAAAAACACCATTTCCCCCGACGTTCTTTAGACAACAAGAGCCCAATAATGAGCTTGACGTTAAATTTCGGATGTTTGCGAATGAAACTCTCAAAGTCCTTAATCACTATCCCGCGAAAAGATACAGCTCAAACCTCACTCCAGTGCAAAAACGTGGTATGCGAGAGGTACGAGAGCTGATAAGGTTGAAAACCATATGACTTTCCGTTAGTGATAAGGGTGGAAAGTTTGTCGTAATTCCTCATCAGTTAGATGTGGAGATAACGAAAAAGCATCTTGAGGATGCTTCGCTTTATCGCCCATCATCTGAGGAGGAATTCAAAAGTAAGTACCGAAAACTAAACCACGAATGGGCCAAAATGGCAAGGGCTGCTGGTTTAAAACCATCAGTTATCTCTCAACTTAAAGTTGACTTACCAACATGCCCCGTCTTGTACGTATAAAAACTCATAAGTTAGTATCCAGCGATGATCTTGCGTCTAACGATCCATCACTATTTAAGGTTAGACCTATCATTAGCTACGTAGACGGGCCAACGGACAGGATAACATGTTTTTAACCCTAATATTTAACCAGCTGTTGAAACACATTCCAGCCCATCTTACGAATACCCAGATGTTTCTGGATCGTCTACGTACTGTGCAGCACAACAGCGCGTGCGTGATGGAGTCCTTCGACGTTACCGCCCTTTATACAAACGTGTCGAATGACTCCGCAACGCAAGCCAAATTCGAACTCCTTACACAACACGAAGGAGAAATAAACATGTATGGCTTCAGGATAGAGCACCTGATGGCACTCTTAAAAGAATGCTTGGACTGCTCAATCTTCAGATGGTCTGGAAAGTACTACGCTCAAATAAGAGGGTTGGCAATGGGACAACGACTGGCTCCAAGCCTCGCCATTGCATTTATGTCTAAGGTGGAAGCACCGGTGGCTGATCTCGGGCCGCTACTCCACTGTAGGTATGTAGACGACTGCTTTGTCCTTTGCTCAACACAAGAGGAATTGGACAAATGCTTCGAATTGTTAAACGCACAGTCAGAGTATATCAAGTTCACCCGAGAAAAGCCGAAAGAAAAATGGCTTCCATTTTTGAACGTACAAATTCACCTATCAGAAAATGCCTACATTACAAAATGGTACCGAAAGCCAAGTAGTAAAAACATCTTGGTTCATTACCTCTCCTCTCACCCCTCTCACACGGAAACGGCGCTTATAAGAAACATGTTTCGAACAGCAACCAACGTG